TGGCGTCTGCTTCGAAAAATACCTTTAACAATTTTGTCAATGTAATTTATGCTGTGGATAATTGCGAAAAATAACAATATATACACAAAATAATGCATTTTACTTTGGTTACAATTAATTTATTCTTTATTGGCAAATTAATAAGTTTTATTTGTGTGGTTTAATTTATACGTAATCAAATTAGAAGATTTCTTAGTTGAATAAACTCTACTTATCGACAATTTATCTGGTTTAGGGATTTCCGACTACACATTATGACAAAAATGTTAAATTTCTGCGAATTGCATACTTTCTCAAGGTAAATACAGAATAAAAAAAAAAAGAACAAGACCTACAAAACAAAAATAGCCTAATTGGAAACTATTATAAAAGCATACATAATTTATAATACGATAATGTTGACTTGTGGGTTTATCGCATTCCTATGGTAGGTATAATAAAATTCAAGCAAATGGACAAGAAACTGAATTTTTTAAACATTAAACGAATCAAATTAAGATTATAGGTAATTGAAGTACAATTTTAGAAGTACCTTGTTGTTATTTATAAAAAAATTGTACACAATTAAAGTTTTTTTGGTATATTAATTATAAGTTAATGTGGTTTAATTTTCCTCTGTCCGAATTATTAATGACTTTAAATATTAAATGACAGGATAAATAGATAGATATGGTTTTTGTCCTTGAGGAATGAAGACGAAATCCTCTCATGGCATGTTGAGTGTAAGCTCAGCGATTCCCCAAAGACGAAAACCATATCTATCTTTTCATCTTGATTCAAAGCCTCAGACAAGACAATTCGGAATCCGATAATAATAGATACATTACTTTTCTTCTTAATCAATCTCTATTTTTGATTAAGACTAATCCATCTTCTTTATTTTATTTATACTCTCATCACAATTTTCCCAAATAAAGGGAACAGTTTTTTTCCCGCATTTTTAACTATAAGCAATTTTTTCTATCAAAAATCGTAAAAAAAATTGTAACGTATAGGACACAAGGTAAAAATGTCCACATTAGAGAAATGTCCAAAACATAGCCAGAAACATTCATTTACATTAACAGTGTTAAGTGTCATAAAATCATAATTATTTAAACATTTAGTTGCTTACGAGTTTCGACACGCACCGTAACATTAGTAGCATGATAATTTGAGTTTAAAATACATATACGATAGTTTTAAATACCGCTAGCGACTATTCGTCCTAAATGTAGGCAATCAACTTCACTGCAAAGTATTCTGAACGTCAAGCTGCAAGTAGCTGAATACCTTTACTAAAAGACTCAGCTTTCAAAACCAGAGTTTAAAATATTAATTACCAAGAAATAAAAACGTTCTTTAATTGGGGGTTGGAAGTTTTAGGACCTCATCTACTATTTGCAATTGTTACTTACCAATTCATGTCATAAATCCTTCCTCGTACAATAACACATTGTCTCAATTCCCAATGCAAATAAGCACCTTCACGCTTTCTTCAGGACTGTAGGTACTGCTACTTTACAGAGTGAACAAGCAACCAATGTTTTATAACACATGTCATTCCGAGTTTTTATCCTAAAAAATAAAATATTATGAGAGTAATTAGATATAATTAATCTAGCCTCCCTATTAAAAAACCTGCATAATATGATATTAAAGTAATGCCGAATCCTTTCCTCTTTTAACATCAAAAATATATTGTATACTGACAGTAATGAACTTTATAAGCATTTTTCTTTAAATAATTGTTTTCAAATGAAATTAGTTACAATAAGTACCATGCCTAAGTTAATAATGGAAAGTTGTAATAATCTAAAAACATTAATTATGACTTACAAGTTTTTAAATGAAGACTTAAAATAAATTAATTACATATTCTCACCTTAATTATTAAATGTAGACTGTGACACTCCAGAGTTTGCAGGTGTGATAAGCAAACCAAATCCAGGAAGAATTCCATGACAGAAAAATTGTTGTTTCAATGGAATTCAAATAAATCTTCAGTTGCTTTCACCCATAATTAAAAATTATCTGTATAGCGTTGCAAGGTGAAGACGAAAACAGCAAATCAAGAATGTAGTTCAGGATAGACGCCATTCATGTAGACTTTAATTGTTCTTTCATTTGTTGGATAATCTGCAGAAATAAACAAAAAACCTATTATTTAAGGATTAGTTACACTTCTATATAAAAAAGATATGAAATGTTTTAAAAACATGCACCAAAAAGCTACTAAAATAATTGAATGTAAAACTACGGATTGTATAAGCTAA